TAGCTCCCAGGCATACCTGTTTGGTTTCAGATATATTATTTTTCAATTCAAAAATTTCCACTCCCTCCCCTCCTCCCATTCCCCTCCCGTTCTGCCACTCACCCTCCTCCCACCCCTTCCAGTCTTAAGAGATGGCAGGGCACCCTGCCCTGTGGGAAGTCCAAAGCCCTCCCCCCCAGATGCAGGGCCTCACTGTGTTGTTCAGACTGCTCACTTCAGCCTCCTCAGTGTTGGGCTCACAGTGTGAGCCACCATGTCAGACTGGCTGCTCTCCCAGAGGTCCTGAGTTCGATTCCTGTCACCCACATGGGGACTCACAGACTCCTATTCCAGAGGATCTGATGCCCTCTGCTGGCCTTTGTGAGCATTGCACACACCTGGTACACACAACTGCATGCAGGGAAGACACTTAATACACATAAAATAAAAATAAATTAAGTTTGGCTGACCAGTGGTGGTGCACACCTTTTATCCCAGCATGAGGAAGGCAGAGACAAGAGGACCTTCTGAGTGCAAGGCCAGCCTGGTCTACGGAGTGAGTTCCAGGACAGCTGTGAATACACAGAGGAAACCCTGTCTCAAAATAAAATAAGTCTTTTAAAGAGAACACGTAAAATTAAAAAAAAGAAAAGAAAAGGCTTTTCTGATGCAGGGGCACACACTGCAAAGCCGGCACAAGGAGGCTAAGGAGGTGGGGTTCCAAGTTCAAGATTAGCCTGAAACTATATAGTGAAACTGTGTAAAAAGGAAGATACAGTGTAGCTTATTGGGGGGATATTAGGGTGCCCTAGTTAGAAACCAGGCCAGGAACGATTTGGGGGAAGTCATTGCAGAAATCACTTTTCGGAGTCAACACCGCTACCCAGCCCCTCTTCAGGTGAGATGTCAGCTAGGAGAGGTGTAGTCGCCTGCCCAGGCGTGGGCTCCGGGGAGTCAGCTCCTGCACACTCCCCTCCTAGCCTGATCTCCCCTCTGGTTTCCTCCTGTGCCAGTTTGACTTTGCGGACACCATGGTCCACCAGGCCATCCACACCATCGAGTACTGCCTGGGCTGCATCTCCAACACGGCCTCCTACCTGCGGCTCTGGGCCCTGAGCCTGGCTCATGCACGTGAGTGTGTCCTCTACAGTTCCCCCTCCTCTGGGAACTCAGGAGACTTCAGGGGTCAGCCCAGCTCCTGAGTCCAAGAATGAGTGCAGATAGGTTAGCTGTTTGCAGTGATGCCGCCCCAATGCAGAGACATGGTTTTCAGTGGGTGGTGGTGGTGGTGGTGGTGGTGGCGGCGGCGGCGGCGGCGCACGCCTTTAATCCCAGAACTTGGGAGGCAGAGGCAGGCAGATCTGTGAGTTTGAACCCAGCCTGTCTATAGGACAACCAGGGTTTTACAGAGAAACCCTGTCTTTAAAAATCAGAAAGAAAAGAAAAAGGAATACAGTTTTCAAGGAACTCTCCAGGTTAACAGTGGCAGAGCGAACTGCAAAGGTCTCATCCTCCCTTTTGCTCAGTTCAGCTGTACCCTGTGTCTCCCCTTCTGCAGAGCTCTCCGAAGTACTCTGGACCATGGTGATCCACATAGGCCTGAATGTCCGGAGTCTCGCCGGAGGGTTTCTGCTGTTCTTCATCTTAGCCGCCTTTGCCACCCTGACTGTGGCCATTCTGCTGATCATGGAGGGCCTCTCAGCCTTCCTCCACGCCCTGCGGTTACACTGGTGAGTGGAGCTGGGTGGAGCAGGGAGTGGGCAGTGTTCTCACTTTAGCACCAGAAGTCTGACCTCTAGGGAACGGAAGCTGGCCCTTCTCTGGTTTAATTGAGGGGTAATGGGGTTCCCCAGTTAGAAGCCAGGCCAGCAAGGATTTTTGAGGAAGTCAGTGCTGAAATCGCTTTTCAAAGCCGAGACCGCTACCCAGCCCCTCTACAGGTAAGATGTCAGCTATGAGAGGTGTAGTCGCCTGCACTGGCGTGGGCTCTGGGGAGTCAGCTCCTGCACACTCCCCTCCTTTCCTGGCTCCAAGCCCTGGAAAAGGCCCCAGGCAGCCTGCTCATCTCAAGGGTTCCAGGAAAGGCTCCCACTCCTTGCTTTGTGTCCCTAGGTGCCTTTGACTGTGCTTGTAAAGCTGAAGGGGATTCTGGGATAGGACTTGTTTTGTTGTTGTTTTCTTCCTTTTTTCATTTGCTTTGTTTTTATTTTTCGAGGCAGGGTTTCTCTGTGTAGCTCTGGCAGTCCTGGCACTCGCTCTGTAGACCAGGCTGGCCTTGAACTCACAGAGATCTGCCTGCCTCTGCACCCCAAATGTTGGGATTAAAGGTGTGAGCACCGCTACCTGGCTTGTTTTCTTTTTTAAGAGTCTCACTCTATATCCTAGGCTGGCCTCAAACTCATGATTCCCGATCTTCACCTTCTCAAATGTTAGGACACCCGTGTACAGCGAGGAGCTTGTGTTTTGTGTGTGAGCTGTTTTTGTTTTGTTCTGGCCTGTGGCTAGAGCCCTGGGTTTGGCCCCGACCAGGAATTGCTAGAGCACACTCTATCCCTGCTTTGTCACTTTACTGTGTCCCTGTGCCGGTGCTGCTTTGGTAGGATGCTAAGGACACGGAAGCAGCTTTTCCAAAGGTGGTACAGGGGCGTGGAGGTGCGCGATGTTTGCTCTCCTTGATGGACTGTGCGGCCCTTCGTGGCTCAGAAATAGGAGAGCTAGAGGCTGGGCTGTGACTATGACCTCAGATGAGGGTTGCCAGATTTAGCAAATGAGATTATAAGGGAAGTCTAGAAACATGCTCAGTGGGCTAAAGTGTTTGCCACCAAGCCTGATGACCTGAGTTCAGTTCATTGGAACCACGTGGTGGAGGGAGAGAACACACTTTTGCAAGTTGTCCTCTTACGCGCCCACACTTGTACGCACAGATACACACACTCAAGATAAGCAACTGTATCCCCACACACTCAAGATAAGCAACTGTATCCCGGAGGTGGTGGTGCACGCCTTTAATCCCAGCACTTGGGAGGCAGAGGCAGGAGGATCTCTGTGAGTTCGAGGCCAACCTTGTCTATAGAGTAAGTGCCAGGAACAGGCTCCTAATAGCACAAGATGCTCAGTTAGGTAGAGTTTCAGATAAACTGAAAAATTTTTGTATGAATATTTCTCAAATGTGCCTGAAACACAACCACAGTACAATCCAGGAAGCCTGTGTTTCGCTGGCTGCCCTGCCTCAGACTCCTCCCCTTGGGGCTCCATTTATTCCTTTATGTTGCCATTCTCCTTTTCAAGGAAGGGTCAAGGGGCTGGAGAGATGGCTCAGCAATTAGAGTCCTGACTACTCCTCTAGAGGACCCAGGTTCAATTCCCAGCACCCAGATGACAGCTCATAACTGTCTGTAACTCCTGTTCCAGAGGATCTGATTCCTGCATACAGACATACTTGCAGGCAAAACACCAATGTATATAAAATAAAAAGTAAATAAGTTATTTAAAAAAAAAAAAAGGGGGAGGAGGAACATGTCAAAGAAGGGTCAATCCCGGCATCTCCGGAAGCTCTAGTTGGCCCTACACGAACACTCCCTCCACACTCACTCAGTGGCCCTGCCTCAGAAACCCGTGGTCGGTCTCTGAGCTCCACAGGGGATTTGTGCAGCCCTGACCCTTTGGAGCCTCTTGTCTGTGTCCCTCATCTTTCTCTTCTGGCCCCATGAGTCTCCTGTTGGTTGTACTAAGTTATGGGGGAGAATCAAGGGGTATTAAGGGTGTTAGGGGTAGGCTGTGGCTGTGACCCTCCCTCCAGGCTGCCTAGGAGGCCTGTGCTTCCTCAGAGTCAGTAGACTCTGCTTTCTCTGAGCTGGCTCTCCCCTGGCTCCTGCGCCCAGTGGTTTGTTTACGTGAGCTGGGAGGTTGGGAGTGCTGCATGTTTTCAGCTCCTTGGCATCCTCCCCTCAGGTTATCAGCCAGCTCTAGCCAGCACACTTCCGCAGCCACTCCAGTGAGGGAATGTCTGTGGAACCAGGCCCCGCCGGTGACTCACTTTTTCTTGCCCTCTTGGCCTCCATGCTCTCCTGTTCTCCTCTGTCTCCTGAGCTCAGGACTTGGGGGAAGAGTGACTGCCCCTCCTTGATTGCCTCCTGTTCTGGGCGGGTGAGGAGCAGTGGAGGTTAGGCCAGAGCCATCAGGCAGGTCAGCAAGGCAGGAGTGCACGGCATGTGGAGGTTGCCTGCCTTGGGTCTCACTGCCTTTGGGAGCTGAAGCAGTTTGGGAAGCCATGTTTTATTGCCAGGTGAATGCCTTCGTCCTCAGGCTCCCCTGCGGCCCTCAGGTGACAGTGTCTCCCTCTGTTCTCCTAAAGGAACATGGGGAAGTGGAGAGGATGTGAGGCAGGCTTCTGAGACAGACTGACTCACTGGCAGGCAATCCTGAGCTCTCTGAGACAGAAGGCAGAGTTCCTGTGAGAACGTGGGAAATAGCGTACACACCAGGTGTCTGTTACGCAGCCCTGACACACCGTAATAGGCAGTGGCTGAAGGTAGGGTCCCTGTAGAGAGGACCTGTCTGGCGGGCCCCGTGAACAGACTTTTCCGGCTGGATAGAGAATGGGGAGACATAAAGGAGGTGTGTGCTGCCACCTGAATGCCCTTAGGTACAGGCTTGAGGCAGAGGTGTCTCTCTCTTATTTGTCTGTATGGTAGTGTAAGTGTTGAACAAGAGGAGAGACGGAGGAAGCCTCATGCAACTTTCGGAATGCTGGCTTTGGAGGGATGAGTGGTCCTTGACACAGTTGAGATGGCACCACCACTTAAAAGTTTAACTGGTGCTTGTGTGCCCTCTACTGGCCAAATGCAGAAGTGCGCCAAGCGCTGCAGGGCGCTCAGCATTGTGACTCTGGTGAGGGGTGGGGATGGTCCTGGCTGCTGGTTTCTGGCACCAGACACAAGCATCTTCATGCCTCTCACTTCGTCCCTGGTGTTTCCCTGATAAACCACTTCTGAGTTTCTTTGGAACTGAGAAGGAAAGCATTTAATTTGATTTTGATTTATTTGATAACTAAATCCCTAGTCTGGGAGTTGTGCAGGTCATGAGGCCAGTGACATTTGAGAACATAATTTCTGTCTTCTGGGTTGTGTGTCTTCCCACCTACCCTGCAAGGTGTGCTTGGTGTTAATGCCCACCATAATTAGACACAAAGCAGGGATCTTGCTGTAACTGGCCATCAGAATGAGGCGTAAAGGCTGCAGCCGGGATGGGGATCCCTCATCTAGAGCCCTGTGTGTGTCTGTGCTCACACCTGTGTGTCCCCACGTGGGTCGAAGGTTGAGGAGACAGCCCTGGGGAGCAGGCGGGAGGAATGCAGTATTGCTGGAGTAAAAGTCCTGGGTCGATAGTCCCAGCTGACGGCATTGCCTGCTACCCGAGCCATCAGAGAGAATTCTTCATCCCCAAAGAGTGGAAAAGGCCCCACGGCCCCTTCCTCCTCCAGCCAGCTCCGGAACATGGCGGGAGCACTCACATTCGCTCTGGCAGCCTCCCTGGCTCACCAGGTGGCCTTTGCCACGAACTGGAGCTGGAAGGGGTGACAAGCCAAGCCTCTGCACTCCTGAGACTGGGTTCTCAGTGCACTTCAGAGGCTAAGCAAACAGCTGAAGAGCCCTCAGGAGTCAGTACCTCTCACGCCACAAGGCGACTTTGGTCTGTACTCAGGAAGTACACGTTTCCCTGGGTGGGGCGGCCAGGGGGAGTTGTTTTCCATCTCTGTACTGGGAGCTTGAGGTGAGGACCCTCGGGGTGAGAGGTAAAGTAGAACTGACCTCAGGATAAACCCAAGATGGTGGCGCACCAGAGGGACCTTGTCTGTCAGTCCACGTGCCGGAACTGCAGACCTGAGACGAGCAGGTTGGTGACTGTAGCCGTCCACGCAAAACCTAGGCTCCATTCGTCCTGTTGGAAATTAGAATAGTCTGTCTGTGTGATTGGCCAGCCAGGGAGTCGTTTGGAATGCATCCTTAGCTGCAGACGTGAGCTGGAACCCCGTGAGGGCAATCCTGGGCTACATGGTATAGGATAAAGACCATGGCTGTACACCTTTTGTTGGGTTGTTCAGGAATACCCTTGATATACGTGAATGAAGCCTAACCAACATGAACCCTCCAGACCCAAGGGAAGGGAGCTAGAGCAGGAGCCTAACCACCCCCCTGCCCTTCCCACACCCCCAGCTCTGCCTGGAACTTGCAGAGAGACTTCTTAGAAGCTGGCACTTCTAAGGGGTGGAGGGTGAATCTGGGCCCTGGAATCCTGCAGTTAATTTGCTGGGGTCCATTTTCCCTGGGAGGCCTTGGGGCCTGGGCCCTGCCCCGGCAGACTGTGAGGGTGGCAGAGAAAGCGCCATATGATTGCTTCTGCACGGCAGGTTCTTCCCACTCCTCCTAATAGGTACAGCCCATAGCTCTGCCACTGTGTCCTCAAGCCCACACCAGCCACACCAGAACCGAAGGAGCCCCTGGGACTCGGTACCACTAGCCACCCCCCCCCCCACACACACACACGGTTCTCTGGTTGAGTGATAGAAGCCCTGCATGTAGCTGAAGGTGCACTGAGGAGCTAGATTCCTCTCCAGGCCTTGAAGCTTCTGTCCCCTGTCCCCTGGAGCCCACCACAGTCCATCCCGCCTGTTCTTGCAAGGGTCACAGGGTGCCTCCTGGAAACTATGCACCAGGGCAGCTTGGCTTCCTCTGAATCAGGCCTGCGTGTTTCTGCCCATATTTGGTGGTGGTTTGGTTGCTGGGCTGCCAGCCAGGGGAGTGTGCGGGAGGAAACAGTCAGGCAGCCCTGCTCCCAACTTCTTCCTGCCCCTCTGAGCTGGAAAAGGGCCCCAAAGAGACCAGCAGGGATAGCCGCCCATCTGCCTGGGAAGGGAGTTAAGGCCCTGTTTTTCCTTTCAGCCTCCAGAGAAGAATTCTTTCTCAGATGTTTTTGTGGCTGGAGAATGTTTTTGCTTCGAGAAGAACGCCCCCCCCCTCAAGCCTCCCCCTCTTTCCTGAGAGTTTCCTCTTCTGAACTGACTGCTTTCAGCATTCTGTCCCAAGTCTCCCTTCTTGGGGCGGGGCAATCGTGTTTACCCAGAAGGAGAAGTACTCCAGGGGGCTTCCCTTTGGTGGCTGAAGGGGTTCAGGGCTTTCTTCTTCCTTAGCTTGCGGCTGTCACACTGCGCTGTCTCTGCTGTTACACATTTAGCACAGACGCACCCAGCAGGACCAAGTGGGGATGAGATCTGAAGACAGAGACTTCTCTGGGCATCCTGTGCGGTGGTTTCGTGAGGGTGGCCCTGGGCTCTGAAAGCCTCTCCCGAGGAGCTGGCCCGGTGGTGAAGGTGTTGCTGCGCAAGCCTGGCAACCTGAGTTTGACCTCAGGAACACATGGAAAAGTAGAAGAGGAGGACCGATTTCACAAAGTAGACCTCTGACCTCCCCCCATAATACATTTAAATGTTATTTTTAATTTAAAAAATAGCGTAGGTCATTTAGAGGCTCAGTGGGTAACAGTGCTTACCTGAAAAGTTCGTGACCTACCTGAGTTCAATTCCCAGAACCCACACGAGGGCGTGTCTTAGTTAGGGCTTCTTCTTTTGGTTTTTCGAGACAGGGTTTCTCTGTGGCTTTGTAGCCTGTCCTGGAACTAGCTCTGTAGACCAGGCTGGTCTCGAACTCACAGAGATCCGCCTGCCTCTGCCTCCCGAGTGCTGGGATTAAAGGTGTGAGCCACCATCGCCCGGCTAGTTAGGGCTTCTGTTCTGCAACAAAACACCATGACCAAAGCAAGTTGGGGAGGAAAGGGTTTCTTTGGCTTACCCTTCACATCACTGTTCATCCTTGAAGGAAGTCAGGACAGGAACTCAAGCAAGGCAGAAACCTGGAGGCAGGAGCTGATGCGGAGACCATGGAGGGGTGCTGCTTACTGGCTTGCTCCCCATGGCTGCTCAGCCTGCTCTCTCCTAGAGCACAAGACCACCAGCCCAGGGATGGCACCACCCACAATGAACTGGGCCCTCCTCCATCAATCGTTAGGAAAATGCCCTATAGGCTTGCTATAGCCCAATCTTATGGGCGCATTTTCTCATTAGAGAGTCTCAACAGTCAAGTGAGAATCTAGCCTGTGTCAAGCTGACACACAACTGTCCAGCACAAGAGGAGGTGGCGTGGGAGACTCATCTCCACAGAGCTGTCCTCTGGAGGGGAAGTAGCATGGACATCTGAAAGGGTCGCCCTGGCCCAGGCGCCATGGCATTCCTGGTAGTCCCAGCTATTGCGGGAACTGGAGCAAGAGTTCAGGGCCAGCCTGGGCAGCACAGTGAAGCACTCATCTTTATTATTATTTAAATATTTTTATCCATGTGTCTGAATGAGGGTGTGGAGACTAGAGAAGGGTGTCTCCAGGAGCTGGAGTTCCTGGCAGTTGTGAGCAGCCACGCATATGCTGGGAACCAAATTCAGGTCTTCTGCAAGAACACCAGGTGCCCTTAACCACCCGGCCATTTAACCATTTGATTTGATTTTTGGACGGGGTCTCACTATGATCGGCCTGCCTTGTCTCCCGGTGCTGGGAAGAAGCCTACACTACTATACTTAGCCCTATCTTATTTTCTCAGTGAAATGGTGACTTTACTTTTCTTTTTTCCAGGGTGGAATTCCAGAATAAATTCTACTCCGGGGCCGGTTTCAAGTTCCTCCCCTTCTCCTTTGAGCATATCCGGGAGGGGAAGTTCGATGAGTGAGTCCCTGGCAGGGCGCATGCCCAGAACAGTCCCCCCCCCCCTTGCCTCCACAGGGATGGTCTGTGTTCCTTTTGCCTGTTGGTTGTGATCCCTGGAAATCAGGGCATTTGTGTGACCCCTGTGACCCCTGTCCCAGCTGTGAGTAGTTTAGATAGGTGCTGGCCTTCCCGGGGTCTCTCCACCCCAAGCTTTGTGTAACGTACAGATTTCCTAGTGAGAGTCGGATGGCTGTGCCTGATGCCCATCCACCCCTGGCACCAGTCTCGGCCTCCTGGCCTCCAGACAGACAGCCCTGTTCTACTCCCTACTGGTGAGCCAACCCGCATAGCCACATGGGGCACAGGGCCCTCAGGATGGAAGGGGTCCCTCTCCAGGCCACAGTGCTTGGTCACAACATGGAGGAGGGTCAAAACAGGTTCCCTCCTGGTAGGGGACATGGTTTATGGAGCATATCCCTCTCCAGGTTAGCAGGGACAGTCAGGAAGATGCTCTTGTCACCCTTTGCCCTCTGCTCTCCGGTTAGTATTGATAGGGACTTCAGCTAGCCCCACATGGGCCATGATGGGTAGCTTCTCCTTATCACCCCAAAGATCCCAGGATGACCAGCACCACCCTCCTAAAGAGCTTCCTCTCCCAGCCCTGTTGGCCCAGCATAGCATCCCTGGGAAGGGGATGGTCTCACAGGGCTTCCCGACCTGAGATTACCCTCTACACAGTCTGCATGAAGGGGCCATGCCCTACACTCCATCCCAGGGCAGAAGTTAAAATTGGCGCTCTTCTGGTGCATCCCCGAGCCCTTCCTCCATCCTGATCATGATGTCCCGAGGCTGTGGTCAGTAAGGTTGGTTCTGCCGGCAGACCTGCCTTATCTGCCACTGGTGGTCCCTCCCCAGCTCCCACACTGACCCCACTTTCAGAAGTGGTGTCCTGGCCGGGGAAGGTCAGTCTCCTTTTCAATTAGCTAACTGGGGGTGACTGGGGGCGCAGGTGTGGTGCGCAAGCCCTGTACAGCCCTGCCAAGCCCTCGTCCCCACCTCATGTCCTCCTGGCTGTGGATCTCAGACCCTTCTAATCATGTGCTGACCCGTTCACTCACTGCCCTCCCCTCCCCCACCCTGGCACCCAGAGAGCTGCTCAGACACTCGCCCAGGCAGGGCTGGCCCACTGGCACCCCGTCCCGAACCCCTCTCCTTTTGTGTCCAGTTTACATGAAGACCTTTGTTCTGTTCACAGTGAGGCCTGAGGCAGAGTTCTTTGTCAGGGACCCTCAAGGCCTTCTGTCCAGACAGACATTCCTGTGCTGAATAAAGTGTGTTTGACTCTCACCGAAGCTGCCTGTCTTTGAGTACACAGCCCTTGTCCTCCTGCCAGCCTTTCTGCTTCTCTTTCCTGATCTGAGGCCACAGTTGCCATGGCCCTGGCTAGGCAGTTAGTGAAATTAGCGCCTTATCTCGAGTTTCCCAGGCACCTTCCCACTCTTGGGAGCCAAGTTAGCCTTGCAGAGCTCCGGCAACCTTTATCTCCCTTCCCTTCTCTGTGCGGCCCAACCGGAGAAGGGAGCCAGGGTATCTGCCCCCACCTTCTCCATGTATGCTCTCCAGGGCACCACGGCTGAGCTATTTTAAGCCCTGGTGCCTTTGGCCTTGGTGTAAGTAGAGGCTTGGCAGACTCTTAGGGTATCTGGAGAATGTGAGGTGCTGACGTAGGCAAGCCATGAGCCAAAGAAGCAGCAGACTGCAGGGAGATGGCTGGGTGGGGAGGGGACCTCCCTTTTCTGAGACAGACACATTCTTCCTCTGCCCCCCACCACACACAGGGTTTGTGACACAGGAATGTAACACCTGCTTCTGAGGGGCAGTGGGAGGTGGGACATCCTGTTCATTCCATCTCTTTTGGGGGGTGGGGGGTTCGAGACAGGGTTTCTCCTTGTGTAACTAGCAGTCCTGGCTGTCCTGGAACTAGCTCTGTAGACCAGGCTGGCCTCGGACTCAATGAGATCCGCCTGTCTCTGCCTCCCTAGTGCTGGGACTAAAGGCGTGCGCCACCACCGCCCAGCTTCATTACATTTTCTTATCCCATTTTAGCCTAAAAACACCTCTCTCCCAACCAGCAGGGCACCCACCCCTGGAGCAGTACTCCCCACTCCAGAAGACTTTTCAAATGAAAAGTCCCAAGGGAACTCTCAACCTCTTGCTGTTTACAGGCTCAAAATGGAGGCCTAACTAGAATAGCAGAGTTGATAATTCAGGATTAAATCCCAATTTACAGTCAGTGAATTTCAGACAAAGAGGCTGAGATGATTCTGTAAGGAGAGAACTGGGCATGATACTACGCCTGTAGTCCCAGCACTCTTGGGGTGGATGCAGGCTTGGAAGTTCAAAACCAGCCTGGACTACATGAGGCCCAGTTTCCAAAACAACACAACACAAACCCTTGTATTCATTTAGTGTTAAGACAGCTGAGTGTCCATCTGCAAAGGAACACGTTTGGATTGCTCCCTAACTAACAAAAATGAACTCAGAGAGGCAGGTGGATCTCTGTGAGTTCGAGGCCAGCCTGGTCTACAAGAGCTAGTTCCAGGACAGGAACCAAAAGCTACGGAGAAACCCTGTCTCGAAAATCAAAAAAAAAAAAAAAAAAAAAAAAAAAAAAAAAAAAAAAAAAAAAAAAAAAAAAAAAAAAAAAAAAAAAAAAAAAAAAAAAAAAAAAATGAACTCAGACACGGGGCTGGGGCCTGTGAGCCCAGCACTTGAGAGCCTGGAATGGAAGGCTCTTGAGTTTGAAACCAGCACATGCCATATAGCTAGATGATGTCTTAACAACCACATTAAAAAATGAATTAAAACCGGATCGTAGACCTAAATGAGAGAGTTAACACTATAAAACTCCAGGGACCTTCAACTGAGCCAATGATACTCCCACACGAGTAACAAGATAAAAATACCGATGTTAGCTTTCAAACGCTTGGTATGCTTTTGTGTGTAGAAGGTCGGAATCAAAGCGCCTGGAGACAGAGAGAGATAGAAGAAAGATCATAGCCAGATACCCGGTCTGAGCTGTGCCATCCAAGGAAAGGGTCAGATGCCCAGGAACTGTCGAGAGGAGGCAAGGCTTAGAGATAACTGTTTCCAAGGACTGTCTGGGGCCTAGGGGACGCTGTTGAGTGCTTGTCCAGCCTGCACACCGCTCCCCACAGAAACCCGATGGAGGTTTGCTTTCCTTGCCTTTCTTTAAAAAAGAAACAGAGTGGGTGCCCCACATGCCTGTAGTCTTGGTACTTGGAGCTGGAGCAGAGGAGCAGAGGTTGAAGGCCATCCTCACCCTTGGCCACATGGTGAGTATGAGACAGCGTCAAAAAAATGGAAGAATCTGCCGAGACGGCTCAGCCAGCAAAAACGCTTGCCGCAATAGCCCGATGGCCCGAGTTAGATCCCCAGACTCCACGTAAAGTTGAAAGGATAGGAGGAACCCCACAAAGTCCTCTTCTGACCTCCACCATCCACCCCTTACACCCCGTCGTGCACACAACGATAGTAAAAATAGTTTAAAATTTAAACTTAAGCCGGGCACAAGCGGCACACACCTTTAATCCCAGCACTCGGGAGGCAGAGGCAGGTGGATTTCTGTGAGTTCAAGGCCAGCCTGGTCTACAGAGTCCCAGGATAGCCAAGACTACACACACACAAACCCTTAAATCTTAGATCTCTCTCTGGGGGTGGGGAGGGGGGCAGTAGGCTGGCGGCGCAGGTGTGGTGCGCAAGAGCTGTACAGCCCTGCCAAGCCCTCATCCCCACCTCATGTCCTCCTAGCTGTGGATCTCAGACCCTTCTAGTCATGTTCTGACCCATTCACTTACTGCCTTCAGGAGGCGACACTAAATCCCCTCCTCTCCCCCACTCTGGCACCCAAGAGAGCTGCTCAGACACTCGCCCAGGCGGGGCTGGCCCACTGGCACCCCGTGCTGAACCCCCTCTCCTTTTGTGTCCAGTTTACAATACGCTCTTTTTTAAAAAAGAAAACAGGCTTGGGTGGTGATGCCAGGTGGCACACATCTTTAACCCCACCTGCCCCTCTTCTCCGGGGGGCTGGGGTTGTTCATGTTTACATATGAGCACGGGTAGACACCAAGGCTCATTCTCTGTGGTCTCCACCTTATTTCAGCCTCCCTTTTTGGCATGTTTGAGACCGTGTTTTACTGTGGTCCCTGGCCGCCGTCAACTCATCCTGGCTCGGAACTTGCCATGCCCTCTGCCCCTCAAGGGCCGAGATTTACAGGCGTGCCCCATCACGTCTGACTAATCTCTCCACCTGGTAAATTTATTGGTGTGTGTGTATCATTACACTTCTGTTGCTGAGATCAAACACCGTGGCTAAAATCAACTCTCAGAAGAGTTTGTTTTGGCTGCACAGTGTTATTAGGCATGACAGCAGGCCCTGGGGCAGGAAGTTGAGAGATCACATCTTTAACCACAACCAGAAAGTGAAGAGGGCAAACTGGAGGAGAGACCTCCTAAAGCAGTGCTCCTCAACCTTCCTAACGCTGCGACCCTTTAATACAGTTCCTCGTGTTATGCTGACCACCCCCAATCATAAAATTGTTTTCATTGCTACTACTCCGTAACTGTAATTTTGCTACTGTTACGTAAATATATGTTATGTAAATATATATGGGTTTTCGATGGCCTTAGGCGGCTCCTGTGAAAGGGTCCTTTGACCTCCAGGTTGAGAAATGTTGCCCTGAAGACTATACCATCCCCAAATGCTGACACTAACCACTAGCCAGGGACCAAGTGTTGAAATATATAAGTCTATGACTAACATTTCTCCCTCAAACCACCGTGGTATGTAATCCAAATAGAGTAGGAGGAGGGCAAGACGTAAGACTTTCCAGGTCTGGCTG